TTATTTATTATTCATTACTTATTCATGTCATTTATATTATGTTACATTAATCTTTGCTTAGTTTTGCTTTTATTTTACTTTATATTATATATAATTAAATATATATTTATATACATATATTTTTAAATTAGATTTATATTATTATGTATAATTGATATAATTAGGTAATAATTATGTGCGTATAAATTAATAAAAGATTAAAGATTATTATCGTTAAGTAAATACATTTCTAAAAAAATTGTAATTAATTACAAAATAATATGCATACTAATTATATTTCTTAATGTTTCTTTATCTTTTTCATTAGTAAAATGACAATTGAATGATTAAAAAAAAAAAAAATGTTAATTAATCATTAAACCAAGAGGAAATTTTGAACAATTCATCGAAATTGGCCATGGAAAACCAAATTCCTTCAATAATGGTTCACATTTCATTTGTACCCGTTCACATAACGGTCGACATGGTCCAATTGCAATTGGTACCTGAAAAAATTTATGATTGAAATATTTTAAATAAGGTCAAATAAGGGTCATATGCATGCATGTAAAATTAGTTTATCCTAAAAATTTCATCATTTCAATATTTTTTGACAAATTAAAATTGTTGCAATCAATCAAATGATAAACATTTTATTTAATTTTTCCCTTTTTTTTTTTTAGTAAAATATGCTTTAGTCGTTTTCTTTTTCTTTTTTTCTTTTTTTTTTTTGTTCATTACAACCTTCATTATCTGTATTTTGCCACAAAAGTTAACAGTAGTATCATTCATTCATTCATTAAAAATATGGTTTCTATCGTCAAGGTCATAGGGTCAACATCAAATGTCATTCGCATTAATCAAAAAAAGAAAGATTCCTTCAATTTATTTAATCCAAAATAATGATCATAATTTATAAGTAATATTATTTGATTCTAAATTGTAAATATTCTTAATCAAAATTGAAATAATGAATTCTCAACATACCATAATATATGTAATATCTTAATTGAATTATCAAATGGTCAAAGGTCAATTAGTTTAATGGAAGCAATGATCAACGTTTTGAAAGGGGCACTAATTAATATAGCATTTTGAAGATAATACGATTAAAAATATTATCTATAGCTTGTCTTTATTATTTAATTAGTATATGAGGAATAATACGATTAAAATTGTGTCTACAATTTTCCCCTTTTTTTTTTTTTTCCTTCAAATGCTTTAAAATATGATGAAATAGAAAGATTAAAGTCTTTGATCATAGAGCAAAGATCGAAGATTGAAAATGTATAATTAACAAAATTTTAATTACAAACTAAACCTTATCGGTACACATTGGAAAGTAAATAGAGCAGAGGAAAAATTTAAGCCGTGATGAACAACGAATCTTAATTAACGGATCAAATGTACTGAAACCATTCGCTGCATCATTTTCACTTTCATCACCAACCAAATTTGGAAATCTATAAAAATATTCAATTAATTCATTAAAATATTCCATTTAAATTTTCTTATTTTTCACTTTTGTTAATTTATTAATAATTTTTTTTTTTGAAAAAAAAAATTTTTGAAAGAAGAAATTCAAACTGATTAATTGAATTATTTTCATTGACTTATTTGGTTTATTCATTCAACTAATTTGATCGTACACATATTTTATTTAAATTAAAATTGTTCTCATATTATTTATTATTATTATTATTATTATTATTATTATTATTATTATTATTATTATTATTATTATTATTATTATTATTATTATTATTATTTATTATTATTATT